CAATCCAATAAATTTTAACCTTTCACTCTGGAAACTACTGTAAGTGTCACCTTTTAACCATGTCTTGTGGTTTCACTAATTAGCAGTTATAAATACTTAAATTAGGGAATCTTACATTACTTTGAAGTACTTCAGCATCCATTACTTATATGCACTTGAAAAATAAAGTATTTGATTTTTTACTTATTACTTTAAGTTTGAAAGGAAACAAATGTAAAAAGAAAATAAAAAGTTTTAAGTTCTCCTGTTACTTTTTACATTAAACATATACCTTGATAGATTCAAAGCACATACCTGTAGATTGGCATAACAGTTTAACACAAAGTTCACCGATACACAAAGGATACATAAATTACATCAGTCTAATGATTTTATATCTTATTCAACTTGTGTGATTTTCATCCACAATCCTGTAGTAAGAAACTGATCTCTACTTACCTGATTAAGTGTATGTTCTTTGTTTGCATCAGGCATAACGACTCCATGGTTCTTGGCACCCTGAAGCAAAGACAAAACGAACAAGTCATGTACAACAATAAAAATCAATCATAACAATTCTAAAAATTTCACATTCATTTAGTAAAAAATGTAACAGAGATTAAATTTCACTTTTAACATATTGTTTCAATGTTTACTTTGACAAATTCCTCAAATATTTCATATTTATTTGCTAAGAAAAAAGTTAATCTTAGGGCTTAAGGGCTAATATGAATATACACAGAAAATATACTTTTTACAGTCTTTTAAACAATTTTCCGTATTCTTGAGGTATCCAAACAAAGTTTCCTTACATCATTTTTTTTAATTAAACAAGTATTAAAGCTACAAATTATGTACTGACACATTTAATCTTATTTTGTCTCTTAAAGTTGCTAAAATCTCCCCTATTGTTATTCATTGTTTCTCAGTAGAGTATTAGTAATTTCATCTAGTAATGTTGTATTGCTAACAGTGTCTTTTACAGAAGTACATTGCTTATATCTAATTCGATGACAGGCTAAAACCTACCTTAATATTTACATTTGATCACATTGTCAATGTTAATTCAATACATAGTGAATATGATGGAAACAAAGTAATATTAAAACTGACAAAAGACTTATCCATGCAAGTTCATAAGTTTCATATATATATATACATTGAACATTCTTAAGTAATATGGGTTCTGAATGTTTCAGTGTTAAATTTATTTCTTTTAGGAAACATTGGATTATCTTACATACAAATATTTTGAACTTTTGAAGATTAAGTTTATATTACACTTTGGTTAACATGTCTTCAAAAAGTTAATAATTTAATTTTTTTTTAATATACAAGTTATTTTGTGGCCACATTAATTAGAGAATAGTAAACCATTTAACAAACATATTTTATATTTCTGCAAGTAAGTTTTATTAAAGCCTTCTTAACAGTTAAACAATAGGATAAAATTAATAAACAAGCTTAAAAAATTATTTAACTACAGTGCATATGCCATCACCCAAATAAAGGTAAAAAAAAACAACAAAAAACTCCAAGATATCATTATATGTCAAGCACTTTATGGTACTCAATAGGCATAAAACAAATATGCATGCTATAAAATCAACAAAGACAGAGAGTTTTCCTTTAAAGGATGATTGCCACTCACTTACATTTAATTCTGTACCCAATAAGCCCGAAAACAAGGCGGGAAATCATTGCTAATGGGTTAACGGTTTCTGCATTTCTACTCATATAACACATAAAAACTCAGGCCATTTACTGCACTGTGTTTAGAGACAAATGCTTTTTTCCATATGAAAGATATTGAATATCTTGTTTAAATTTCGAACCCGAGGCTTAACAAGTTATTGGAATTTGGTGTCTTACATTTACTGTGAATTTATAATTTAATTGCTATGGGAGACAACTAATATAATATTAGAACAATTGAATTTGTTATCACAAAACATGAGAGAAAGTGTACAAAGCAAGTTAAGTAAACATTTTGGAATACCGAGGATTACACCTTTTGTTATCTACATACAAGAACAAATGCTAATTAAAAAATTCCTTCCCTCTTTCAACACTTGCAAAACCTTCAAATTACTTAAAATTGTTCTAATCTGATTTTTATTGATATTTAGTTCTACGTATTTGTTACTTTAATTATATTTGTTCTTGTTTCTGTAAATTACTTATGACAAAATCATTGTTATTCTGAAACCTTTAACAGACATACTTTGTGTTCTTCTGTTTGTACATAGTTATATTTTTGTGATAGTTATATTTTCAAGCTAATAACTTGATAAGTGAAAGCTTTTACTAATATACAGAAATCTATACATACCATGTTACTCTGAACACGTTTACCATTCTTAGATCCTCTTTCATAGATGTACTTCCCCTAAAAGAATGCATACCATAAATTATGTAAAATTATGACTGCAAAAATCAACCAGTAAAAACCAGAAATTTCACAAAGGTTTTTACAATTTTAGAAGAAATCTAAATGTATAATTCTTAATTATTAATATTGCTTTTAATGTTCTTTTGTCAAATATATGTATTGAGAGATATCAACTTTTGGTCTTTTGTTTGTTATAAGCTATTACTAATAAAACCTTATGCTCAATACAAGACTTTATTAGAGAGATGTAACATAAAAAAAAAAAAGGTGAAACACTACATCCATTTTTGAAAAATGCAGAAAAGTAACATACAGTATATGAAATAAATAAGTAAAAATAATTTATGACACACTTATCAAATTAGGCTTATTAAAATACACAGCATATCTACTTGAGTAACTTATATCTATATAAAAGAAAATATTTACTTACTGCCTGATCAGATCCCACAAAAGAAATTGCTTTAATATCTGGATGTTCACATATAAATGTCACAGCTAAAGAGAGAGAATAACACTTGTTGGTTACTTATAAAACACAGAGCTTTTACTTCTGTCATCATTATTTTATGTAAATTCATACAAAAATAATTGTTGTAAACTTGACTACTGTTAAGTGTTCATTACAAACAGGAGTAAGCTCAGTATTAAGACTTGTTTTAATGCCAGACATTATTAATATCTTAATATCATAACTCACAGAATCTAAAAAAAAATCATTAAATATTTTTTAAATGAACTAATAAAAGATGTAATGACATTTCTTCTTGTAGACAACAAGATCATAAGTTATTTAGCAGATTTGACGTCAATCGTTATCAAGCAAATTGTGTAGTCTCATTTGCTGTGTGATTTTCAAGACTAGTCATTAATGATAAATATATATTCAAATGATGCATTTTATTGGCTGAGACATTGTGAACAGTACCTGTTCTTATTAATAGCATGTATGTTTTTTGGTCATTCAATGGAATAGGATTAAAAAAAATCTGATATAAGCTTACAATTACAGAATTTTTAATTTAGTTGCTCTTTCATATAGATTTGTTTCTTTAAAACTATGAAAACAATGGTTGCATGTATTTTTTTTTCTAGTAAACTATATTATAAATTACACATATGAGCAAAACCCTTCGTTGTATGCACATATCAATACCAACATTTTTCTGTTGTGAATTTCACACATGATTAAACAGTATCATACTAACAAAAAACCAGTTATAAGTTTCTGTTAATGAGCAAAAGCAAATGAAATTAATTTGGGGTTATAAAATTTTATATTTAAGAAGTAGTAGATTTGTAATATCTAAACTTAAAATATTATTCTAAAGTAAACTGTTGTTTCATTATATAATAAGAGAGAATCCTCAATAGCTGTGGCACTTGAAATTCTTTCAGGCAGGATTAGAGTAAATTAATCTATGAGACCTTTTTATTAGCAATATTTTTGTGCACCAGCAATACCAAGCATGGGGTGCATGTATACCCAATTCGATTTTATTACTCATCAGGATCTCTACCAGCCTACCCTTAAATTGAAATTCTTTTAGGCAGGACTAGATCATATTAATTATGAGACCTTGGGCATGATAAAATACATCAGTTGAAAGGGTTTAACCTCCTAAGTCGAAAACTGTAAATAGATCTGAAATTGATCAAGAGATGACTGAGCTATGAGCTAAAATATTGCACTTGAAAAACTCAGAGCCATTTTATGAGACACTATGCCATGGCAAAAAATATGTACTAGTTCAGTGTTATATTTATTTGATACATGGTGACTTTAAAGCTAAGATTTGCACCAATGTTTAAGTAAGTCTTTCAAAAGTATGTTCAGTCTTGAATGACCATCTGAAGCTCCATTAATACTCACACATTATTATCTACAAAAACCAGAACCTTTACGGTGTTAAGATATTTTACATAATCATACAATATTAATGGAATTATGTAAGTTCAACTTCTAACCTTCATGCTGTCCATGGATTACATTTACTACACCATCTGGGACACCAGCTTCTTTTAAAAGTTCCATGAGTATCATTGAAGCTCCAGGGTCTCGCTCAGAAGGCTTCAATACAAAGGTATTGCCACAAACAAGAGCCAAAGGGAACATCTACAGACACCAAATAAGATTAAAGACATATGAACTATTCTGGAACACTGACAACTGCTTTAGAATAATTTCTCCTTTAAGTTATTCATTATTAACCCTTTAAACACAGGTATTCCCTTTAAACACTTTTCTGCACAAGTCACCATGTTGCATTCAAAATTTAATTAAACAACTTTACTACCAATTTATGTGAATTAAATTAACAGTATAATGTATGTTATGATTCAAAGTTTTATGTTATCTAATTTTTAAGTCCTTTATTTCAAAAGGAACCTTTAAATAACACTAAAAACTTCAAATGTATTTTCACGTAACCAACAAACTATAAAAATTCGCTACTTTGCCACTCTGTATCTTCAATAATACGATAACAGTTGTATAGATGTAAGTGGAGATTATAAAGTGCTTACATAACCTTTTGACTGGTACATTTCAAAGTTCTCTGAATGAATGCCGTTGAAACAAATAAATTTTTTCAACTCTTGACAGGTGCCACACCCACCTTCAACAGATTTGTTTGAGCTTTGTAGCCTATATTAGAAAGAGCACATTTTACACTATAGTCTAACAATGGTTATTTTAAAATTGACACACGGTTGTCGTCATGGAGTACATGCAGCTAATTGTAGTATTGTTGGCTGCTTGATGGATTATAACACTTACAGTTGTTTCTTACCTAAATATGTTATAGTTAATTATGTATTAGTTATGTTTTAAAATGCATAAATAAAAGGTTTAAACACCTTTTAAATATACACCATACTTTGCATCAGTTTTCAAAGCTTACAATATTATGCAGTACACTAAAATGCTTCTGAAGGGTTGCATGTCTGCTAAAGACACCATAATATGCCTTGAGGGCAGCGTTGACTTGTGTCAAGATGAATAATAAATGGTAAAGGACAAGAAAGGAAAATAAAACATTAAAAATTAACTATATGTGAAAAGGAAAAAGACTTGAAATCATGAATTTAACAAAACAGAAAATCTTTAAAGATATTCTACAAAAAATTAAAAGGTGTGTATTTTTTTCTTCTATTTCCTATTTTTAATTATTTCATTGCATTGTACTTTGATGATAATAACTAGAGTTAGTGATACGGTAGAGAAAATGAAAAATAAAATATAAACATTTACCGTAAAAAAAAACTTTTGTTATTCAGTTAGAAGGTTCTAGATGTTATGCAAATGAAATATGAAACTAAGATGAAGAAAAGTATTTTTATACTTAAAATGAAAGTCATTTTTCCCTATTTTAACAGTTTGAGTGCAAATAACTCCTATAAATAATTAACATTTTTAATAGAAAGGTGTAATTAAAATAATGTTATTCTTTGTATACAAAATACTTATAAACTTTAACAAAATCTTATGAGGTTTTGTGAGGAACGCTCAATTACCATATGTTTTTTTGCATAAATGTCTTTCGCCAGTCGAGGTGATACAAAATGCATCAGCCCAAGGCAAGAGGGTTAATTAAAACACAACAAACAAAAAAATTTAGTTAATTTAAACAAACCCTATGAAAAACCCAAAAATTTAAGATATAGAGGTACTGTATCCATTAACCATGTCAAATATTAATTGTTAAGTTTTGAAAAAAGCCTTACATACACAACTTTGTTTTATTACATAAAAAAAAAAGTCATTGCTTCTCAATTCACAAAGCAAACAATAACAAATGAAAATAAAATAAATACTAGCTCACCCAAAGTGGAATCATGGCAGGAAAGTTAAAAGGTGTGACTCCAGCACAAACCCCAAGAGGGATACGGTAAGAGTGAATGTCCATGTTTTGGGCTATGGATGGTAAAGATTCACCAAGCTGCAAGGAAGTCACACTGCAAGCATGCTCTACAACCTCTGTAAAAAAGTGTGAGCAAGTAATTCTAAAGGGAAGCACTAATATATCAAAACTAAAATTAACACTATCAAATAGAGATAAGAGGGTGTATGTACATCAGATTTTCAAACCTATTAATTTTTAAGGATGTAATAAGCCATCAATACATACTTAACTGGATTTAGAACAAATATTTCAATAACTTCATTCATACGTTTTTATCCAAAGATTCTAAAACAATTACATCTTAACCCTATTGCCACGGGTATCCTTTACTGCGCATAACACAAGGTTTTAGTGTCTTACATTCAAAATTTTATTAAACTACATTTTGTTTATGTTGTACCAATTAGAATAGTGTAAAATCTTAGCTAATAATCCATATTTTAATAGTATATGAATTTTAAATTCTTAATTCTACAAGGCAATATAAAAAAATCCTGAATTTCTACTAGCATGACCCATGTGACACATTTTCTCTTAGCATGTCATCTTCCCTATTTTATCCACCACTCATCGAAAAAGTACAAAATTAAACGTAAATTACTCTTTATAAAATTATCATTGCTCAGACAAACCATAATTTTTATAGTCTTCCATTTTGTTTGGTTATAAAGCTATCAAATATAAAATCAGACCCCTCCTGCCATATCATCTCTTTCAGCATTCATTGATTGTTTAATAATATATTACCTATAACCAATAGAAAGTCAAGGTTTTCATCTATCAAATGACATATTGCATAATGTTATGTTCTGAATGGTTATGTGTCGATTTCACTCAGACTACCAACAATGTTCCCGTGAGAAAGTTAGACACAGTTCAAAGGGCAATAAAACAATAAAATTTAATTATAAATGGATGTATACTGTTAGAAACTAAGATCTATTAGGATAAATGAACATAGTTTCATGTTACAATTTGAAGTCATTCTAGAAAGTAAAAAATGGTAATTTATATTTATTTCACTTTTTTTTTGGTGGTTATGAGGTCGGTCGATCTGACCGATCCTGATTTGAGATAGGGTAGAGAAAATAACAGATAAACTATAAAGTTTTACTGAAAAAAAAAGTATGAAATGCATTTAGAAGGTTTTAAAGACTACATAAAGGAAATTTTTGAGATTTTTGAGATAGAGGAAAAGTATTTTTAATTTTAACATGAAAATTACTTTTCACACAGACTATTCAAAACAAATACTCAATATATTCATGGATAAAATCTCTATTTTATTAAAAATACATCACTAAAAATAAATTTTTTGTATATGAAAGACTTATAATATTAACTGAAAGACTGTCAAATTTTGTGAAGATATACACATTATATTAAAAGTTAGAAGTATTAAATCTATATAAACTTTAAACAAGTACAAAGAGGTCACGTAGTTGGTCAAATTGACCAAGCCCGTGTTGAGAGAGTTAATATGTAATTAATAATCTTTTTATAGATTTACATTAAATTTACTCTGATGTACAAATGATACCTATATAGACTCAAATCTCATAAAAATCACCAGCAATTGAAAATCAACATTAAATATTAAAATTGAACTTATTGCATAAGTCTTCTTTATACACTAATTTATTGAATTATGTTATCAATTATGATAGTGTTATCATTTAAAATACACATACTTCAAAAACCAAAACAAACAATATTTACATAAGTTTACTGGATCATAACTCAATGCCTCAAGATTTAATAGCATTCCTCTGAATATAAGCCCACACCACCTTTTACAAGACATTTTAACATGATGAGAGTAGGAAAACTTACGTAGTCCCCTAAACACATCCCCTTCAGCATCCACTAATGTTTTACCCTGCTCTTCTGTAATACTTTCTGCTAATCTTTTCTGTAAAGACAAGAAGACTATAGGGAAAAACAATCACAAAGTATACAGTTCTTATAAACATTGACTATTGATCCACTAGATGGAAGATGGATCTTAAACAAGAACAGGAAAATCATGGCTATGATTGATAATATATTTAATATTTGGATGTTTTGAGAAACAACACATTCCATCATCAGTGATCTGTAATACATTAAAGATGGTATCAATTCAAACAGACCTGTTAAATGATGATCTAACTGAATAAGAAAGGTAGAACACATCTAAGTAACATGGATTGTTTGTATATATATATATATATATATATGGGGACTGCAAGGCCACTAATACTGACGAAACAAAATACCAACTAATAATATGTGCCTAAGAATATAGAAATATCATATAGGACTGTTATAAAACTAATACATTCATCTTTCCCTCCTATATAACAATACAGGAAAGAGTACACACAACATTTCTATAAATAACTTTAGAATTTTGATATAATATTCATCTAAGTAGGAATTGCTTATAAATAATAGTCTGTTAATATCCATTGAATGCTCAAAACTTATTAATAACCACAGCTCACAACAAAAATCATGAATTTAAGTTTGCTGTGTCTTTAGTGCCTGTAAGAAGTATTTATTATTATGTTATTTGTATTCTGTTTTCTTTATTTCATTACCTTGATGTATCTACAAAAAACAAACCCAATGTATCACAATATGCGTGTGTCTTAAAACATTAGAACATTAAATATATTAGCAGAAACACCGCCCTATGGGCGGCTGTTTGTGTTACTAATTACTAATCATAGTATTCATACCTCATTGAAAAGAATTTAGAAAAGTTAAAATTTTCTCAAAAAGGATTTTTTCTGGGAAGTACTGCACAGGAAAAGTGTTCAGATTGTACTGATATAAACTGTAATGTTTCTACATGTTGAGCAAGGTGGTTAGGGCACTTATCTCGCAATCTGTGGGTCGCTGGTTCGAATCCCCGTCCCACCAAACATGCTTGCTCTTTAAGACATGGAGGCATTATAATGTGACTGTCAATCCCACTATTCATTAGTAAAAGAGTAGCCAAAGAGTTGGCGGTGAGTGGTGATGACAATCTGCCTTCCCTCTAGTCTTTCATTGCTAATTTAGGGATGGCTAGCGCAAATACCAAATCGCCCTTGTGTAGCTTTGCACAAAATTAATAACAAACAAACAAACTATATATTGAAAAAATAAGTTTTTTAAGAACTCCATTTTTTAGTACTATATTTACAACTTACATCAATAAAGATATAATTAAACCCTCATGTACATTCCTAGTGAAAATCATGTTCTTGTTGTGAGGAGAGTACTTTTATTTAAAATTGTGTTCTGTGATAAAGAAATGGTTGTTACACATACCATAGTTATTTTTCTATGTATTTTTGTTTGTGGTCCCATTCAATAGATGGTCCCACATTGTATCTATTTTTTGGTCACATACATAGATAGATACATATATACATGCAACTCCCATTATAGTAACATCATCACCTGTAGCCTGATTTTCCTGTTAGTAAAAATTGGTTCATGAAGCTTTCTAGCACAAAATTAAAATTAACTTACTTAAAATTTTATGATAAGTATGTTTTACATAAAACTATTATCTTATACCATTCTTAGCTTTCCACGAAATCTAACAAACAAAGTTATAGAATTTAAATGTCTAAAGGAAATCAAAATGTAGTGTGACTGAGTTAGGAACAAATTCTTTAAAAATGAAGGTTAACAGAAGATGCTGATAAAAAATAAGGAGAAAACTCTTACAGTACAGTCAGAGTGGACCTAATATAGGGAACCAATACACAAGCAAAATTGTACTAAGACATTTCAGACAGTATTTTTTCAACAAGAATTTTTCATTTCTTCAGAAAAGCTAGAAAACCAACATTTAAAATTAGTAGATTTAAATTAAAAATATAGTGCTACACAACTGCTTTTCACCTTCAAGCTTATATGTGATTGTTACACCTTTTCTTCATAAGATTATACAGGCCTGCAATGGTTTTACTGTCTTAAAATTTTTACATGTTCTACAGTAATTTCTGTACGCTGAATCCAAAAATGGTATCCATTTTTCTCCATAATGTACAGATTTTTCACAAAACCCCATGTCACAATACATAAAAGAAAGACCACAACATGTAGTTTTGAGACTAAAATACATACATTTCATAAACAAAAATCAGTATGAATGAGGATGCATATTCATTTGACATCAGTGTTCTTCCCTTTTCTCCAGTTTGTTTGATGTTTTTAACAAACATAATAATAAAAAATGTTCATTGTGGTAAACAAAATAATTTGATCTAAGAAAGAGTTTTATTTTCTTCTCAATTTGTAAAAAATCCTTACACAACAGAAAAAAATTGAATATTATTTTTTAAAATTTGCATAGCTGAATTATGGAAGATCTGTTATCAAAATGAATACAACTTTTTTGAAGTTTAAATTCGCAGGTCTGTGTTATTGGAATTAATAAAAAAGTAACTAATTCAACATAAGGATTAAGTTGCTAAGCCAGGTTGGATAAGTTCCACATTTCTTAAATGGTTTGTAAAAACAAACTCTTCAAGATGATTTAGTGATTTTATTCACATAATTCTTAATATACAACTACATACACGTGGCATCACTTCAGAGAGCTGCAAAGTAATTTAGTTTTGAACTGGTAACATTGACATCATGAAACCAAAGCAATTGTGCTGATATTTTATACAAATCTCAAGATTTAGCTATCTTTGTATAAAAGTGTAAAAGCTAAGATGAATATTTAATGGATGGCATATATAAATAAGCCTATTTTAAGTCCATAAATAACTGGTTTTTTTTAACTCCAATTTACTTAGAAATAACTTCAAGGAAGATTTTAACTATCAACTAAAAGAACGTACATTTGTTAAAATATAGGGGAAATTAAATTTTTCAATGCTGGATTACATGTCCAATTGCCATTTGCATGTTTGATAAAAATTTATACAAAAATCAAATGTAGTAATAAGTACAGTCAGTAAATTACATTGAGAGCAAAAATAAAGAAACAATATAGATATAATCAATCCTCAAACTAGTAGCTAATGAAAGGCTTTATACCATATTTTTTTTTATCAAGCTTTGGTAATGGAACATGGTCTGTTGTCGTGTCAGGATAGAAGTATTGGACCAGCTTTTAAAAGCAGCTTTTGCTGAGGCAACTGCCTCTTCCATTTCTTCTTTTGGACAGATTGGAACTCGAGTAACAACCTCATTAGTAGCCTAAAAAATTAATTAAGACCAAGTAGAAAAAAACAACATTCCAATAATGTAAGCAACAAATTTTCTAATAATCATGTATTTTCTAAAACACCAAATATACAAAATGATTTCAAACAGATCCTTCAAATACAAACTTTAAAAGACAGGCTGTTTATATTTGTTCAATACAACATAATTGCATTTTTATCATAATTCAAGTTGACTCTTTTTATAACTATTATAAAAGTTACAGTGATATTCCACACATTTTAGTTTATTAATCAAACATGGTATCAGTTGAAAGTCTGCATAAAAATGGTATCAGTCACTACACTTAAAGTTTCAGTTTTAAAACACTAGAAGTTTTATTGTAAATAATAATCAAACTTACAGGATTATGTACATCTATCCACTTAGAAGCACTTGATTCTACAAACTTTCCATTGATAAACAGCTTTGTGGTAGGCTGAAAATTGTTAAAAAATAAATACATCATCAAAGAAAATTGAACTAATACTTACAATATATGTGTGCATACAAAAACATAATGACTGAAAGATGCCTTAAAAAACCATTTAATAACTTAAAACATTTTATATAAACAAAATGTTTTATCCTGAAAAGTCTAAAAATAAGGTTGTTCTTGATCTCTAACCAAATAAAAATATCTAACAATTTTTGTGATTAAGATTTCAGGGTCAATTTAGTTTTTATTTTTTTATTTTATCACTTATTTTCAAAGTAATCTGTGTCTATATATACCAATCACAATTTTTACTGAAAAGTTACGTTAACATAGCAACAAAATTATAACATGCTACTATTCTTTCACCTGACTGTAAACTTCAGATGTTTTTATCATTTTTCATCTTTAAACAAGAGGCAGATCATAAGCTATAATCTGTCTTTATCATCAAATTCTGAAGATGACATGAGTGATAAAAGGTTTGGTCTTTATATAAAGGTGTAACTGCAATCAGAGATGTTGGGTTTACTGAAAAGACTATTTGTGGAAACAATTCTGCAATCTTTAATTTGGAGTTTGGATTTTTTTTTATTGAGTATTGAACAGCTCAATGCAAAAATATTGCTAATAATATATAACTTCAACATTAGATAACTATTTTGTACTAGGAAATTCTTTATTCAGGAACTTTGATTTAGATGAAATTACAAGACATAGAAATAATTGTGAGTAAGACTTTTTTTTGGAATGCTCATTGGTTTTCTTATTACATTTTTTTAAATACTGTTCACAAGTTACTGAACCATTATTCTTTCTCATGTCATTATGAATCACTACCATCATTGGCTATCTTGATTCTCACCAGCTCTAATTCGACTACTGTTTGCAAGTGCAGTTTTAAAATTTGTTCTCTTCATTCTCAACATAGACAGCTGCCTTTTCTTTTTTTTCCACTGTCTACATCTTTGATTTGTTGGAGGTGGAGATCATTTGACAAAGTAACCTGTTTAGTTATTCAGTTCATTGTGAAGCAGGTTCTTTTTAGTTTAGTTTTTAAGAGTGTTGAAACCTTTCAATTATATTCACAAGAATCTGTGGTAGGTGGAAAGCTACTAACCTGCACAAAACCCTTTCTACCAAGTGAAATGTAGTGATTCTGGCCAACTTCCATAAAACACCCTGTTCCATAATGTGTCCCATTCAGCCAAATCACACTAAAACAACCAATGGATCAAACATGGGATATGTTCAAGTCCATAGAATCAGTTTGATAATACTTCTCCAACTCTCGACCACTATATTTTGGGTTCAAAATATAGGTTGCTAACTGAACAAGAATGGAATCATAAGCTGTGGTGTCTGGAAAATATCATAACCAAGCAAGAGTTTTAGGTGCTAACAAGGGTGATTGCTATAAGGTCTTTATTGTGTTACCTCATCTTTATTTTTGAAGTCAAATCACTTCAGAAGTAATAATTTGTCATCTTTGAGCTTTTTTTTTTGGTAGCATGCAAAATTGGTTGCAACTAGCCTCATTCCCTGCTCACTTGCACTCAGACTTCTGCATTATCCAGTATGTTTTTGTAGAAATAGATGAACATAAGGATAGTGCCCCGTGGGCATAATGTGGCTTTTTGTAAATGCACCTTAGTTTTGTCTGCATTCTTAGCGATTGATGCTCAACGAGTCTTCACATGGTTTAGAATAATAATCTATATTCTACCCTTTTGAACTTCAACACAGTCACATACTTTCCTCCTGTATAATCTGCTTGACTGTTTCTACAAGTTCACTCACAGTTCTAAGTTAGTAAATGTCCTTAGCAAGCAAATTCATGACATCAGATAAACAGCCATAGATAATCAGGTGAAGATATTTCTCTTTATGTATTGCCCATGCAGCTCTTGTATCACTTGAAAGATCTGTGATTAAAGTATGGACCTTTTTCTGATCCCAATATGTCTACAGCACCACTATACAGTTCAGTCATATACTTTGGTATCTGGTCATTTTTTGCTGTCTGCCACTCAGAGCCATAAGTGACCAGCAATCTTTGTCAGCCAAGAAATATGAAGTATTTATTGCAGAAAACATTAGCTGTTTGAAGATGATCAGCCTGAAATAGAGAATATTTTTAAAGTGAATGTTGTGGCTTTGTTGAATTATTATTTCATGAAGATAAACAGCTTCCTTGTGGTATAACATGGAATCCTGGTTATTCCACACACTGATAGACAACAGACAGAATGCATGTAGTTCTTTACTTTATCAACCCAACAAGTTTTCAGATCTTGACTTTTACCAGTTTGACATGTTAAGTGTGCCAAATAAATTTGTTACTATTATTTTTTTCCATACACTCTATGCCCTAATATTTCCATGGATTAAAAAAAAAATTCTGGGTTGTTCTCGCATGGTATTATAAAGTTGTCAATGATGCCACTACAGCTGATAGCCAAGTGGAACATCTGTGAATTGGGGGCCAGACGATAATATGATTAATGAATAGCAAGACTTGCTCTAAACATTCCAACAATCTAAGCATAAAACATAAACAGTGTTTCTGTTGTGTAGCCACTTGCACATCTTGTGGGGAAAATATTTTAGACAGAATAAACTTATTTCACTGAAAACTTTTGTTGCAAATTCTTTTTAAAAGACAATCTGAAAAGTTCCTACTCAGTAAATCACTAATGTCAGGATGACCATGTGGTCACCATTTTGTTTGTTTTTAAAACATGCATTAATCTCCACTGCTCTCACTTGAATTAAATAAAGAAAACATATTTTACTATCACTGATAATGGCAATAATGCTTTTATTGAAAACATATCCTTATTGCAATTAGAAATAATTATAAAGAAAACATATTTTACTATCACTGATAATGGCAATAATGCTTTTATTGAAAACATATCCTTATTGCAATTAGAAATAATTATAAAGAAAACATATTTTACTATCACTGATAATAGCAATAATGCTTTTATTGAAAACATATCCTTATTGCAATTAGAAATAATTAAGTAGCCAATTAGCCAATATATTTATGCAAATTGTTTGAATATGATAAGTATAAAAATAACATTCAATAAATTAGGATTTGAATCATTAGAATATTTTCCTATCACTTATCACACTTACTAACCTTAACTAAGCTTTACTGTTGTCTTCTCATACAAAAAAATTTCTGTAGCTTTCAATGGGATATAATTCAACATGTAAACACTTTCATGAAAGAAAATAATGTCTAAATAAAGTAAAAAGAAAAGAACATTAAATCATGTTTGTAACTAAAATGAAACTTTTTTTATTAATATCCATGATAAGACAGTGAATCAGTTATCAAAAAAGTGATGTTGCTAACTAGAAGAAAATGATCAGTTATGTGACAGTAAAAGTTTTGATGATGTTTTATTTATCTTTTTTTACTTAAACATGTAATGAGCCATTAACATTTTCTTTACCTGAAAATGTATTTTAGGTAGGTACTCATCTATCTGCAGAACAAAGCTATTATCTAGTGCATTGGTCAAGAAGATTTATCTGCATGCCACAAGCCTTGAATGGAACTCCCATCCCTAACATATTAACATGGACTGTGCCAGCCTATGATGTAATCAGCTTAGACTACAGCCCTCCACCAATAAGAGTGTGACATATCCACTATGGACAATAAATCCCATTATCAAGAGCATATCGGCAAAGGCTCATTTTTGATGAGGCAATTGAGCCACACTGGAATTAGGGAGGAAGATTTGGTGTTGTGCAGAGAGGTGAGTATCTACCTGAAATACATTTTCAGATAAGAAGAATGTTAACTTCAGTAATGGAACAAAGAGCTAGAATGCCACATTGATAATATGATGGAAAGTCTGGTGTAGAGAAAATAAATTAAAAAGTATGAGCTTCTCAAAATTATTGTGTCAGAAGCAGAAAGCCCATGAAGCATATCACCTACTAGGGATGTAGTCTAGTGGGGAATCACACGGTGGAAGGCAGTATCCTTTTCATATAAGGAATACTCTTCACCTAATAAAGGTGGTAGCTCAATAGGTAATGTAAAAAGAACTTTATGAATGGTGCCAAAGTAGTGCATAGGTGGATGCTATAAAAAACTGTTCAACTGGTCATTTTATCTTATGGGGTCAGCAGATCATCTATGTTTACACGTAGCTTGGGCAATACACCAGGCTGTACAGTATTGGAGAAATACATACATGAAATCCTTACCAGAATAAGCAAGTGCAGGGAGAAACTATCCCAGACATTCCTTCCAAGATAAACAAACTATCCATATGGCTGGAATTTCTACCAGGAATGTCCCAGTTCTTCGTGTAGTAGGTGGCCTGTACTACACTTTCAGGTAAATATCCCAGCCCTACTTTCCAGGCAGTGCATTCACTCAGTTTCATACCAATGTGATTACATTGACCCTAAGTGGAATTCTCCATACTGACCTCTCCAGTGGCTTAGGATTAGGGAAAAAAGGGTTCTCCCATTACTCTACAAGAAGAAAAAAGGGGGAACAATGGAGAGGTATGTGGACTAAAAAGGAATATTTTATCATCTCCACAAGGTCCCACACTGACAGACTGCCAAAACAGTCTTGCAAAAAAAAAAAACACATCTAAACAGCAGGCACTAAGCAGTGGCAGATGGGCTTAGCACTTTCTGTTATTCCCTATACTCTATGTGGATTTCAGGAGAGAGAGAGAAATATTTCCTGTGAGGCAACACTGGTTCTGTGGTGGGTTTCATTGTCTCCATTATACATAGTTCAAATAAGGTGGTTATGAGATCTGAGCAAAAAAAAGAACAACATTAATTCACCTCTAAGAGTCTCCATGAAGAGTGGAAAATCATGACCAAAGAGAGACAAAAACCAGGGTTAGTTTAAACTGTGGAGTGAGTAATGTATACAAACGTGTTAAGGGGGTCATCCACATCCCTGCCTGTATAACCTCATACAGGAACATTGATGGCTAAATGCAAGGAAGATATTATCACCAATGTTCCCTCTAATTTTTTCAATCCATGAAATGAATTTATTCATTTGCACCAGTATCAAGGAAATATGTGGATCTGTGCAATTAGTTTTTTTATTATTTTTGGTTCTGGTTGAGGGGGGGGGGTAGAACATCAACCTTTTTGGATCATTAGGCTGCTTTGTAATGCCACCAGTTGTTGTTTGGGTTTTAGGCCTATCGACTGCCCGATGACTACCGGTACTAACTTTCTTAGTAGGCAATGCAAGTGTGCATTTGTGAATTGAAAAAATGATAGAGAACTTATCTTTTAATGGATTTCTGATTTTATTTTTATAAGTAGTAGCATAACATTCAATTATTTGTACAAAATTGTATTCTTTAATGAAGTTTAAAGAGAAATTTAATGAAAAAATTCCTAAAATATGTTTTAGACTGTAAATAAGCACTCTCTAAGAAGAAATATTTTTTCAAAGATTTTTTAAAGATATTTCCTTTCACTTCA